TCCCTCCTACCTCCCTTCGTCCCCTCCTCTCCGCCCTCCCTCCCTCCCTCCCTCCCTCCCTCCCTCCCTCCCCTCCCTCCCTCCCCCTCCCTCCCTCCCTCCCTCCCTCCCTCCCTCCCCCTCTCCCTCCCTCCCCCCTCCCCTCTCTCCTCCCTCCCTCTCTCCCCCCCCCTCTCCCTCCCTTCCCCCCTCCTCCTCGCTATTCGCGCTCACAGTTTGCAAATGGCAGAACGTAGCACTGCCGTTCGAATCACCTCTAAGTCCATTTCACCGCCTCTCTTTTTCCTCTCTCCCCCCGCATTCTCCCCCCTTTCACGCACCTCCCCACCTTCAGTGTGCGATGGGCAGGTGCCGAGGCGCCGTCTCAGCCCACAGTCACCTCCGCGATTGTATCTTAATCAACACCTTTCCCCCTTTCGTTTTGAGGCGCCCAAAACTAGAACGTCTCAGTCCCACAGTTCCACCTCCGCGATTGTATCGTAATCACACACCTTTCCCCCCTTTCCCGCAATTTTTCCCCATTTCCCCCCTCTTTTTCCTCCCCCACACACACCACAACCTGACCCATGCAGTGTGTTGATGGGCAGTGCGGAGGTGCCGTCTCAGTCGCCCCCCACTCACCTCTCTAACCCCCCTCCTCTCACCTCCCTCCCTCCCCTTTACGCGCACTTGACTCTTGCGTGTGCTGATGGGCAGTGCTGAGGTGCCGTCGCAGTCGGGGGGCATTCTGAAGGTGCCGCACTCGTCGTACGAGTTTGGAGCCAATGTGCTGGACGCTAAGGCGAGTGGGAGGCGGCGGAGAGGAGGGGGGGGGAGAAGGTAGGAGGCATGGTATGAATGTAGTGTGGGGTAAAGTGAGGCATTCTGAAGGTGCCGCACTCGTCGTACGAGTTTGGGGCGAATGTGCTGGACGCTAAGGTCAGTGGGGCATGAGAGTTGAAGTTGGGTGGGAGGTGGACTAGAAAGTATTATTCCTCTGATCCTGATCCGCTCCTCCTCCTCCTCCTCCTCCTCCTCTCTTCCTCCTCCCTCCTCCTCCTCCTCCTCCTCCTCCTCCTCCTCCTCATCCTCCCTCCTCCTCCTCCTCCTCCTCCTCCTCCTCCTCCTCCTCCTCCCCCCCCTTCCTCCTCCTCCTCCCCCCCTCCTCCTCCTCCTCCCCCTTTCCTCCTCCTCCTCCTCCTCCTCCTCCTCCTCCTCCTCCTCCTCCTCCTCCTCCCTCCTCCTCCCTCCTCCTCCACCTCCCCCTCCCCCTCCCCCTCCCCCCTCCCCCTCCCCCCTCCCCCTCCTCTCTCCTGCTTGCTATGCCGCACGACAACTTGAATTTTGAATTGCCTTTCCGTCCTTCATCGAATCGTCGTGAGTCAAAATTGAAGATAGTACCACATTCCAATTTATAGAGACTAACCCATTCCATTCTCCCTTGCATGCATGCCCTTTTCTGTAACCTGTCCTCATCGCCTCATCCCCCCTCCTCCCCTTCATTCCCTGCACCCTCAGCCGTCCGCGAGCATAAGATGCTGAATGGGCGGATGGCAGGCAGGCAGCAGTCCGAGCGTGCAAAAAGAGAACTTTTGAGACGTCTCAAAAGGCAGGCAGCAGGCCGAGCGTGCCAGTGAGCGACCAGGTTGCACCCTGATTGTCCGTCGTCCTTTTCCTGACGCTTTCTCCGTCGCCTCTCCCTCCCCTTCCCTCTTCCCCTGTGCCACATCACTGCCGCAAGCAGAAGATGCTGATAGGGCGGATGGCAGACGGGAGGTTGAGTGCGCGGGTGAGCTACCAGGTGACGGACAGCGTGGCGTTGAAGGTCAATGCGCAGATCGTGAACGAGCCTCACTTCTCGCAGGGCATGTTCCAGCTCGACTACAAGGTGCGTGTGATCGTGCCTGTCAGAGAGTGTGTTGTGTGTTGCGTGTGCGTGCGTGCGTGGGTGTGTGTGTGTGTGTGTGTGTGTGTGAGTGTGTGTGTGTGTGCGTGCATGCGTGCGTCGCGCGCGCGTGCGTGCGCGCGCACGCACGCGAGTGCGAGTGTGTGTGGGAACCAAGCGAGGTGTCAACACTTAACGGCGTTTCTCAATGTGCTTCCCCGCCCTCCATCACTGCAGGGGTCGGACTACCAGTGGCAGGCACAGGCGGGCAACGATGCTTTCTACGGAGTGAATTACATTCACGCCTTCTACGGGCTAAGCCACAACCAGAGCATGCATGTCTTGAAACACTCTCTCCTCTCCCCACATCGTTCATCCCTCCACCACCATCACAGGGGTCGGACTACCAGTGGCAGGCGCAGGCGGGCAACAACGCGTTCTATGGAGTGAAACTACATTCAGAGCGTCACCCCCACACTCTCCCTGGGCGGAGGAGGCCTTCTGGCTGGGCCACCAGCGCCGCTCTGGGCTGGGCATTGCAGGGCGCTACAACACCGATAAAGTGGTGAGCTGTTCCTGCTGGCGTGTGCAGCAATGCATGTGCTGCACCGCATGCGCTCTTCCTCTTCTTCTTTGTCCTGGACAAATCATGCCCATCCCGCATCGCTCCGATCCATGCCGTCCCGCATCGCCCCAATCCATGCCATCCCACTCACCTCAGGTGGCGACAGCACAGGTGGCGAGCACAGGAGTGGTTTCCATGACCTATGTGCAACGCGTGCTCTAAATCATGTGCCATCCCATATCCATCTCACTTCCTCCAGGTCGCGACAGCACAGGTGGCTAGCACAGGAGTGGTTTCCATGACCTATGTGCAACGCGTGTCAGATAAGGTATGCGTTGGATATGGTATGAGGCTGATAAGGCATGAGTCAGATGAGTTGTGTGAGTTGGGTAAGTATTGAGCCGATTGGAAAGGAAAGCCGCCTCATTGTGCTGTCCAATAATCTGCTCCGTGTTTGAACAAGTGTTTTGAGACGTCTCATAAGTTGTGTTCTCTTTGAGACGTCTCAAACACTTGTTCAAACACGTGACTGGAAAGTCACTGCATCGTGATGTCCATTGATCTGCTCTGCTCTGCACCTCACGTGTCCCTCCCTTCATCCATACCTACCTTCTCATCCATCCCATCTCTTCACCCATCCCTATCCATCCATCCTCGTTGGCCTTCTCCCCTCGTTGCCCGTTCCGATCCTCACCAGGTGGCCCTAGCAGCCGACTTTTTGCACAACTGGAACAGCAAAGAATCGGCCACAAGTGTGGGATATGATTATATCCTGCGCCAGGTGTGTACAGGGAGCTATGGGATACGATTCTATCTTGCGACTGGCTTTTGTTTGTGTCTGTAATGAGTGGTTAGTGTAGAGGGATGCATGTGTGTACTGCATTTTGCCCCAGGTATGGGTGTGTGTGTGTGCCTGTAATGAGTGGCGAATGAGATTATACAGGGACGTGCATGGCAAGGTAACTGCATTGTGATGCAGGTGTGTGTGGCTGTAGCAAGAGGTGACTGTAATGGGTATCAGTCACTATCACCAAGATGACAGGAACAAGATGGCTGAGATAAGATGACTGTAATGAAGGTGCCTGTGATGGGGGCAGTTAGGTAGGAATAAGGCTTTTGGGGGGGTAAGTATAAGGCTTCCCCTTCCCCTTTAGACCCACTTGATTTCCTTGTGTGTGTGCTTGCCAACACTCCCGTTTCCGCTCTTCATCTCCCTTTTGCGCTCCACCATTCACTGCTCTCTCATTCATCGAGGTGACTTTTGAGTCGATTCAAGAGTCACTTCATCTCCCTTCCGCGCTCCACCATTCACTGCTCTCGCATTCGTCCCTCACTCTTGCACCTGGCTCTCTTTCGTTCCTCACCCCCCGCTTCCCCACTCTCCACCCCACTCTTTGTGACCTCTACTCTGATGTGATTGGTTGTGTAACTGCCTCTGCGGCATTCACAATTGATCCAACCCACCCCTGTCCTCTCACAATAAATCCCGATTTCCCTGGCCCTGCCATCCCCTTCTCCTGCATCCATTCTGCGTCCATTCTGTGTCCATTCGTCCCCTTGTATTTTCACCAACCACTGTTGTCTGGGGGGCTGCTGGACACCAGTGGTTGTGTGGCACTTTGTGTGGCATAGAATCGTTCCCACTCCTCTCCCCCTTATGTTTTTCCTCCGATTTTCGCATTCTTTCCCTCTCCCCACCTTGTGTTTCCACCAATCAGTGTCGGCTGAGGGGGCGGCTGGACACCAATGGCTGTGTAGCGGCCTATTTGGAAGAGAGGCTCAATCTTGGTGTTAATCTCCTTTTCTCTGCAGAGGTATGTTAATATTGAGAGTTGATGTCTGATGGTTGTGTTTGTATGCATTGCTTCTATTTCAGCTCGCATGACTTCCCATGCCCTTTCATTATTAACATTCCTAATCCTGTCTTTGTTACCCAAACGCTAACCTTTTTGTGTTGCACTTTCAGGTGGATCACTGGAAAAAGGACTACAAATTCGGATTCGGCATGTCTGTTGGGGAGTAGCTGATCTTGGTGATCTTGCCATGAACTAAACCTCTGCAATTTCAAGGTTGCAGATTAGATGAATGTCTTGTGGATGGTTACCAATGTTGGGCTGAGAAAGCCCTTAAGGATCTTTGCAGAGGATAACTCTGGGTAGGATATTTGTAATAGCGGAAGCGTTTAATGAAACTTGTGAACCGACCTTGCACTAGTGTGTGAGAGCAAAGTGGATTAAATTAAACAAGCAAATACAAGGTTTTATATAAGAGTCCAGGGAATACGAATGGATAGATAACTGTATTTGCTGTTGCGATTCGATACAGTGCGACTCGGGCAATTGCTCTGTAACGAGTCAGTTGTGTGTCCTTAACTGTCGCGCTGTAATTGTCGAGTCAAAGGTCGCTGACCTTTGACTTTCCCGTAACCTCCAGGCGGTTACCCTAACCTCCGAGGTTTGACTCGATGCTTCGATTCGGACTGCTTCGCTAGTGTCTTGGGTTTTGTCACGACAGAAGCGCACTAAGACTTATTGTTTCCAACACTCCCCTTCGCTTCTGGAGTGTCGCCGCAGGTGACGTCGCCTTGTCCAGTTAGCAGCATGCAGTATTCGAACTTCTGCTTTCCGAGCTTCTTGGTCAAGTAATCGGCTGCCATCTCAGACGTGGGACAGTATGACAGATCGAGTTTCCCCTTTTCGATCTCGTCCTTCACGAAGAAATAGCGCAGGGCGATGTGTTTCGTCCTGTTTGCGAAGCCGTTCTTGTTGGCGATGCGAATTGCTGACTGGTTGTCGCAGAACACGGTGAAGCTGGGTAACTCGGCTAACTTCGCTTCTTCCAGCAGTTCACGAAGGTAAAGTCCCTCCTTGGTGGCTGAGCAGAGTGCAATATATTCCGCTTCAGCTGAAGACAGTGCGATTAACTCCTGCTTACTCGACTGCCAGGAGATAGGACCGATAGGTTCGAGGCGGTAGACATAGCCGGTGCGTGAGCGCCTGTTATCGGTGTCGCCGGCGTGATCGGCGTCGACGTAGCCGATTAGCTTGGTCAGTGTAGTTGCGTTTTTGTGATAAGTTAATCCGATCGTCGCGGTGCTGACGAAATAGTGGAGAGCGCGATCGAGTTCCGCCAGATGCTCTGCTTCAGGCTTCTTGAGATAAGTGGCGAGCTGGCTCGCGGAGTAGGATAAGTCGGGACGGCATGTGACTGCTGCGAAGAGAAGACATCCGAGCTTCTTCTGATAGTCGCGTATGCCGGCGGGTTTGAGTAGAGTAGATCGTCCCTTTTCGGTTCCTGACGTGTAGCGGTAAGGCGTGGAGATGGCGCTTGGTGTGAGGCTGAAGCGTTTCGCGATGGTGTCGGCGTACTTCTCGGCGCTTAGATAGATTGCGTTTTCTTCCTCGCGGATGTTGAGCCCGAGGTACTGCGTAACGGTAGAAGAGACCGTGAGCGTGAGGTCTTTCTGAAGCTCCCCTTCGAACCACGTGGCGATGCCGTCGGTTGACCCAATGTAGAGGAGATCGTCCACGTAGACGATTAGGAGAACGTAGTCACTTCCCTTTGTGAGGCGATACATGCCCTGGTCATGCGGGAGTTGTTTGAAACCGATGCGAATGAGGCGGGCGTTGTAGGTACTGCTGCCACAGTCGCGGTGCCTGCTTGATCCCGTAGAGCGACTTAAGTAGTTGACAGACTCGGTTGGGTTCGCCGTGGGAGCCGTGCGGGAGCTCGACGAAGATTTCTGCATCCACAGGTGCGTAGAGAAATGCGTTTGCGACGTCGATTTGTCGCAGTTTCTTTTTCTTCATGGCGGCGACGGCGATGAGGATTCGGAGTGAGGTGTGACGGCTGACCGGAGCGAAGGTTTCGGTGTAATCTCTTCCGTGCTCCTGGTCAAAGCCGCGTACGACCCAGCGAGCTTTGAATTTGTCGATGGTGCCGTCAGCTTTCGTCTTCACACGGAAGACCCACTTCCCGGTAAGGATAGTTTTGTTTTGTGCTACGCCGATGGGAACGATTTTCCAGGTGTTGCGCTCCTCCAGTGCCTTCAGCTCTTTGTCCATGGCTTCACGCCATTTCTCCCTATGTTCCCCCTCCAGAGCCTGTTGAACCGTCGCAGGCTCCTTAGGAATGGCGGCGCCATGGACTGCGGTGACGAGACCAAGGATTTGCAGTCCAGTCTGTGAGTATCGAGGGAGTTCTGGATCCTCGGGATAAGCTGCTTCGTCTCCCACTTCTGGGTCGGGTATGAAATTTGGCCCTACCCTTTCTGCTTCGTTGGTGTTGACTGTCGCAGGTGTTACGTAACCATTGTCGGCGAAATGGTAGAAGACTTCGGCGTTGTTACTGTCGCGAGGATTTTCCTCATCCATGGGCACGTCGACGGAGCTGTACGGAAGAGGTCCGGCTTCCTCCGATGCTCATCCCAGTCTGCTTCATCCGCTGCTGACGCGAAGGCTCGGTCACCACGAAAGCCACTGGTGAGGTCCCGATTCTCGTGCAAGTTGGCGAGGTACGTTTGAAGGGTGAGTCGTTCGTAGAAGATCACATCACGTGCTGCTACTGTTTCTTTTGTGTGGACGTCGAAGATTCTCCACGCATTGTAATTTTTCTCGATGCCGAGGTGTAGTCCCCACTGTGCCCGTTGTGAGAATCTTCCCGCTCGTGCTTTTGGGGGTCTGTACTGTACCATGCACCCAAAGACTCGTAACATTTTTGTGCTGCCCTGCTTCCTTGTCCACAGCAGATGCGGTGATGCGTTGTTCGGGAGTGACGACGACGACAACAAGTTGTGCAGCATGACAGCATGGTCCATTGCTGCTGGCCACTGGTGGTTGGGTAGCCGCATGCCACGTAACAGTTTGCGCATGCTGTTCTGCAGGGTCCTGTTCATTCTTTCTGCAACACCTTGCTGCTGATGTGCGTAGGGAAGGGAGAGGAGTTGCTTGATCCCCCTTTCCGCCAGAAACTGCTTGAAGCGCTGAGAGGTGTACTCGCCACCTCCGTCTGACTGGAAGCTTTTCAATTGCGTTCCAGACTCTCTCTCTGCTATCGGTAGCCAGGCGGCGAATGCTGCGAGCGCCATGTCGCGGCTGGGTAGGTTACGATGCCAGACGTATCGAGTGGCGGCGTCGATGAAGGTGATGGTGTAGTTGTAGTTGACTTGTCCTGGTTCGCGATTGTAGAGGATGTCGCTGTAAACCTTTTCAAGTGGTGCGTAC